CCACAAAATATAGTGAAATCTTAATTTTATTCAAGTCTGCGGCTACTGGCTCTGACTCTGCCCCTGATCTGCCTGCTTGGCTGACATCATCATCATCAAAAGTGATTATCTGAACCAATCACAATGCTTCCCCATAGGATTGGCTGAGACTGTCAAGGAGACAGATTAGGGTCAGAGCCAGCACAAGCCAAACATAGCCCTGGCCAATCAGCATCTCCTTGCAGAGGGTGGAGACACTGAATACTAGTGCTGCACATTGTTTTGCTGGCATCAGTCTCTGAGAATAGTCATATTTCAAACCCTTAACGGCTCAGGGTTCAAGTAAGGCTGCGATCGCCTCAAGTATCTCTGCATCATTTCACAGCACCCTTTGAGGCCAAGACCTTATTACAACAATTAGGATTATCTCATGCTACGACATATATTTTGCATGACTGGGACACTGATAACATTGCTCCATTTGTCCTGAGTGCTAGTACTGGTCCTTCATAATTTGTTTTTTGTGCTATTTTGTTGAGATCAATATTGCTGCAGCTGCTTTTTGTAAAGCAGTAATTGTTTTTTAGGTTGCAAGACAACTCCGATTGTTATGTTACCAGCTGGACAAGATCTTCTGCACTGAGAAGGGTCCTGATTAGGGTTATTTTTTTTTTTATTCTTTATTTTTTTATGTGCAGGTGATTACAATATATATCAATGGTCGCCACAACAGCGTATTTCAAGAATCAAGACAGTTTAGCAGTGGCATGAGAATTTGCACAAATTTTTTCTTTTAAAGCATGCTTAACTAGACAGATTGGTAAAGTAAAGTGAGGTGAACTAGAATACAATGAGATTGACTAACGTTTAGTTTTCAATTCTGCTGTCGCAATGCTATCATAGACCTAATGTATAAGCACAGTTTACAGTATAGCAGTAACTAGATTAAAGAATACATGTAAAGGTTTGACTATGTGTATACATCTAAGGAGCCTCATACAGCAGTTAACATTGCTAATCGCGTATAGGAAAAAACACAGCAGGTTTTCAGTGCCACACCAGTTAGGGACAGCATTTTTCAACTTTAGTTACAACATAGAGAGCATATTATTAGGTTTGCCTCAGCAACTATTGCAAGCATAGGTTAACGTTCTATGACGTTAGTTCAGCTATACCTTTAGAGAGGGGCACTGGTTAGTTAGACAAGCTGGACCCAGCAGCCATCCCTTCTGAGTAGAATTAAGACTGGGTAGTCAACATTTAACATTACTAGATTAGCTTTGCTAGTATGAAATACTGGCACATTTAGATCTGGTAAGCTGCCTGTCTAGCCGTTAATTGCTAGTTTGCATTTTGGGAAAGACATTAGAAAACATATATGTGGTTCTGGTCTACTTAGGTTACATGCTAAATAAATAAACATTACTCTGATAAAAAGCATAGTAGGGGTGCCTACTAGGCAAAGCCAGGGTGTCTGCATTTTGCAGGTGAGAGTCTCAGTGTGTGGGTATGCAGGGCTTGTGTGCCGGTCATCCGATCTGCACCTCGCAGAATAGGGCTGGTGCGTCCATGGTGAGGCCAATTCAGCCGATGCCCCGCTTGTGCAGGGGTGTCAGAGCTGGAGAGGGTGTTTGACCGGGAGCCATGTTGTTCCTTGGCATGCGAGGCAGGTTAGTCTCTGGGGCAGGGGTTCTCAAAGGTGCTGTAGGTGTGTGGCAGGGTGCCGCTGAGGGTCTCCGTGGCCTGTGTGGCCTGTCGTGCTGGTTCCCCATATGGTGGGTGGTTAGGCTGTGAAGGGGTAGTCCCTGCTGGGGGGTAGGACAACTCGCCACTGTTCTGCGGTTTCTGGGTTTGTGTCCGGGCGTCCTCCTCCTCCCTCTTGCCATCTTAGCTTTGCCATTGCCCCGGGCGGGAGTTGCGGGTCTCACCCTGGCCTCTCCTTGGGTTGTTGCTGGTGGAGTCTCCACATCTGTGCCCCCTTGGCAGTAGATTTTAGCCCAAAAGGCTTCGAACAGACGGTCCAATCTTTCTTCCAGAGATGGCAGCTTGGCACCGTTTGGAGGTTGACACGTGGTGTCCACCATAGTTGCCAGTGTTGGCCTTTGTGGTTTTGCTGCTGAGTCCCAAGCTTTAGGTACCGGGATATCCCTCACCGGTGAGGGTAGTTTGCCGGAGATACCTCCAAGTGAATGGCTGCAGTCAGCGCAGGGATCGGCCGCCTCCTCGCCCCGTCTGAGTAGACCTCAGGTCAATCCCTGTTTAGGAGCTGCCGGTCGGGATACTAGGCTTTTTACTCTGTGGTCTAGGGCTCCCTTCTCTAGGTCACTTAATCGTCGATTTGTCAGGGTTTTGCCCCAATTTTGGCTGGTTATGAGCGGTTTTGCACGGAGCTCTTCTCCCGTGCGACCGCTCAGCTTGGCTGCTTGGCTCCGCCCCAGGGTTATTTTGTTTTTGTTAACGAAATGTTCAATCTTCTAAAGGAACCTATGCACCTGCCTGGCTTACGAAGGATAAACACTGAGGGTCTAGCAACTTCTACTTGAAATAGTCATGAAAAGCAGGAATTGGAGGATACACCAAGAGTAATTCTTCGTAATGGTGCTGCTGTAAAGACCAAAATATATCTTTGCTCACATAGGTTATTTTAAGTAAATGCATGTTCTGGGTGTGCTCCTCAATAAAAAAAATTTCTCAGGGTAAATTTTGGAGTCCAGACCAGATTACATTAGGGTTTATAATCACACCCCTTCACTCCAGGTGCTCCTTTGCAATTTTCTGAAAGCAGATTAAAGGGACACTATAGGCACCCAGAATACTTAATTTCAATGAAGTGGTCTGGGTGCCATGTCCCTGTCAGTTTAAACCTGCCATGCCAAATATTGCTATGTTTAAATGTCTTTAGCCCCTTAAGGACACATGACATGTGTGACATGTCATGATTCCCTTCTATTCCTGAAGTTTGGTCCTTAAGAGGTTAATAGCTGTCACTCTGACAGCCACTTAAGGTGCTTCCTCTGAAATAGAGACACATTGATGGTTTTTACTCTGCTATTTGAGCAGTTTTACTCTATTTCGGAGGAAGCACCTCAAGTGACTTTGAGAGTGACAGCTATTAAAGACATTTAAACCCAGCAATATTTATTGATTAAATCGCTCATGAGAAACTCCTGTGACAAAGTGTATCAAAGTGTTAATGCTAAACTAATGATTTGGAGGATTTTTACAACAGGTAATTGGTTCTAAGGTTTAATGCTCTTTATTACCGGGGCCTTATCAAGTATGTTGTCACAGAGTGCTTGAGAATTAACATAATACTTACAATGTTTACTTAAAGGGACACTATAGGGTCAGGAATAAAAACAAAAAAGGAAACAGGGGCAGAGCCAAAAATTGTCCTGGCCAATCAGCATCTCCTCATAGAGATGCATTGAATCAATGCATCACTATGAGAAATGTTCAGTATCTCCATGCAGACCATGGAGACGCTGACCCAGGAAGCACCTCTAGTGGTCACCTGAGTGACTGTCAGTTGAGGTGTCCCTAGGAAGCAATGTAAACACTGCATTTTCTCTGAAAGTGTTTACATTAAATTGACAAGTTATACTCACCAGAATAACTACATTAAAGGATCACAATAGGGTCAGGAACACAAACATGTATTCCTGACCCTATAGTGAAAACCCACCATTTAGGTGGCTTGCTCCCCCGTAGGCTCCTCAGAATGGGTTAAAACTTACCTTATTTCCAGCTCTCCAAGGGTCCACCAGCGCTGGCTCCGCCCCTTGGTGATATAATCAAAATTGGTGATATAATCAATGCTTTCCCATAGGGATTGGCTAAAATTGGCAAGGGGGTGGTGCCAAACACCATTTTGGCCAGTCAGCCCTGGGCCAGGAAGCACCTCCAGTGGCCATTTGAGGAGTGGCAACTTAGAGATGTCCCTAGGGGAAATGTAAACACTGCCTTTTCTCTGAAAAGGCAGTGTTTGCATAAAAATGCCTGAAGGGAACTATTATACTTACCAGAACAACTACATTAAGCTGAAGTTGTTCTGGTGACAATAGTGTCCCTTTAAACTGTAGTTCTGGTGACTATAGTGTCCCTTTAAAGTTCAATGAAAAGGTCATTTGCTTAAGGTTTGGAAAGTGTTTGAAGATATAATTTTATTTTGGGGACATTATGTATGAATATATACCATGTTTGGTTTGATTAGCTGAATTCACATAAGTTATCAAAATTACCTGTGCATAAATATATTGCATCATCCATTTTCAACTAGGTCTGGGATATGTTCATGGTCCCTCATAAAAACTGGTTTCTCTGCACACCCATGCCCCTCCTCAGGATGAACCCGAGATGAACCAAAAAGTGTATATAATTTGTGATGAAAGAAAAACACACACACACAAAAAACAACTTTGTAATCCATATTGAGAGTCAAATCGAATTTACAGTGGTTGCCACTACCAAATTCCTTACCAAATCTCTTGTAGGACAAAAATAGTTATTTTACTAGTAAAGTTCAGATTAGGGTTTTGTTACTTTCTCCCTTTTTTGTTTGCTTGTTTGGTGTAATTTTTTGTTATTTATTTTAATGCACTGCAACTTTTTTGTTCGTAATAAGTGTTTCTGCATTAGGTCCTGCCTGTGTCTACGCATCAAATTACTGAAGAGTATAAATAGAAGAGTTTTTTGGTTTGTTAAGAGTATTTTTGTTGAATTGTGTTGTGGATTTTTAATCTAATTTGGCTTGGGTAACCTAAGACTACCCAGTTGTAAACTGTTCAGGTGGAGACAGCCTTATATTAAAATAAGTGTAGGTGGTGTTTAGAGGGATTTTTAAAAAAAATTAATAAATAATAATAATAATAATAAAAAAAAAAAAAAATTATGTTCGGTCTAGTGCAGACAAATAATGATTTTTAACCATTTCACCCAGTCACATTTTATACTGAGATAAATCCCAAAGAGTAAGAACAATAGCTGATAAGAAAGAAAAAAAAACACAAAAAAAAAACAGTTCCCATTCACCTTTTATTTAAACAAAAACATCACGTGAGAATAAGTTATTTCCATATATACAAATACAAGTTTAAAAATAACCAATAAACCGTACAAAAATCATATTTATATAAATAATACCCTTGATTGTGATTGCATAAAAAAGTAAAATCTCAGATTACGACAGTATAAAATTAGAGGTCTATGCAAAAAACCCCATTACAAAAATACAGTTTTAATCTAAGTGCTCTGTCATTAGTGCTTCAACCAAACATTCTCCAAAATATTTGTCAACAGAAGAATTTCATATAAGCAGCCATTTACATCTACATATATAGAACAACAACAAAACTATTTCTGCACACCATGCAGAACTGGTACCTCTAGGAGTTATAAACTCCAATATTTTACAATCCAAATTTTTATGCCAATGCTTCACATAAAATATTGTTTACTCAAATCCTACTGGAAAAAAACAAATGTCTATTTCTTACGAGAAAATGACATCAGAAACTTTGCATGTAACTAGTTAATATTTTATTAAAGTGTGTGTGTATATATATATATATATATATATATATATATATATATACAAAACACAAACAAAAAATAAAATAAAATTGGAATGTACAATCTAGAATGCCAGATACAGAAGAAAGATGGGTTATTTTGTAGAATAATTAACACTGTCTGTATTCAATAGCAAACTGCATGGGTAAGTTTAAAAATCAAAGACCATGTGGTAACTTACTGGTAGTGAAAATAATGCATTATTTTTGTATGAGGCTACCAAAGTCTGTATAAAAAAAATAAAAAAAATATGACATATGTACTGTACCTCAAAGGTTAAAACGAAATCTTTTAGTACCTAATGTAGTGTTTAGCCAGATTACCTGTAGTGTTCTTAATAAATCACATTGCCACATAAATGTGCAATCATTGCGAGAAATGTACCAAATGTATCTTACGAAGATAGAGCAGAGGTGTGCTCACCAATAAAATAGAATAGATAGTGGGTAATTGTATCTCACTTGCTGCACCTAAGCACATGATCTCAGTTAAATCTCATGAATAGCACCTAAGGCAGAAGTCTAATGTCCACCCACAGCCGTAGATTAGTGTTAAAAAGTACTAAAAATGTATTTAATAAATAGCGAATTGTGCCTGGTTGACAACCAAAATTAGACAAAAGTAGCAGAATCTGAAATATTAAACATTTTGGCCTAGTTCGCGGTTAAGCAAATAGATATCACAATTTTTATTTCTAAAAAATATATTATATATAAACAAATACAGCCATTTATACTAGTAACGTAAGGTAGAATTAAAATCTCTACAAAAATATTTATCTTTAAAAACAAGTTTCACAGAAACAAAATTAATTCCTTTACTGCTCTGGGGTTCTATTCGTCAAAGGCCCCACATGCAGTAGGCATGTCGCTATGCAGTCACAACAGTAGTAAAGCAGAAAATGCACTTTCAGACTTTGTTGAGTGGTACGGTCTCCTTTGATTTTTCAGCCTTTGCTTTTCGGCACTTGCAAATGATCACAGACATGATGATGATTACTACTATAAGAACCACTGCCGTAATCACAGCAACCAGTATACTAAGATTAAACTCTGAAAAAAATAAAGAGAGAGAAATGATTAAATTAAATGTATGCCAACAAAACACACATATACAAGGTATTATTTAGCTCTAAAAGAAAGAGAGGGGAAAAAAAAAAAACAACCAACCAAAAACTAACCCCAAGTTAGTCAAAGAAGTGCCTATGTTATAACGTGACTGTCAAACATAGCATATTCATGCAGTTAAATAAATTGAAGTTGTTTTGAAGCAATACGCACAGATAGTTTAGGGACACAGTTAACAGAGATGCAATGCAAGTGATTTGCATAGGAATACACCTCCTAAAGTCTAATAAAAATTAGGTTGCTTTTGGTTTTCGATTTACAAATACACTGCTCTGTGTCTCTTTTTTGCTTTTTTTTTTTTGTTTATAACTAACTTGCAACAAAGAATATTAGAGTTCCAAATAGGTTTCAATGGACACATTTTGTAAAAATGTCTACCTCAAACTCCTCCCACACTGGGTTATAACATTTCCAGAAAAATGCACCCCTGATGATCTTCTAATCTAGTATCGGGATATGTTGAATCTTTACCAAGTTTAAACCTATTAAGCATTCTGAATACTTCTGCCATGAGGGTTATTCGGCTAGTTTGCTGGCCACAAATAAGAGTCAATTTCAATTAACTGTTGCAAATATGTGGTTATTTATTAACTAAGAAGAAAGTTTAACTAATTTGTACTACACAATTATTAAATGTTTAGTTATTTGAGTGTGTCATTTACAGGAGATTAAGTAAAAAGCACCAGCAGATTAATATCCATCCAAACTCCTACATTTAAGATCAAGTTATAGATGTCATTAATTTACATATCGTAAATTAACGGGAATAGGAAAAGTCAGCATATACAATGCACCCATTTCACTTGGAGAAAATAACACATGTACTCTCTGTAATGTGTTTGTTTACATGGAGAGGCTTTATGAAAACTATGGAAAGTTTTGAGGAGAGGAAAAATAAAATGATCCACTCCACCAAAAAGCCATCTGATAAGCATCCATTTAAAATGGCGGAATGAACTTACACAGAGGGTCAAAAACTCTGGAGCAGGATTATGGATTGCTGAAAAGTAAAAGTATTTTAGCATTTCAGGTTATTTAAGAGTAATTTTTTAATATACAAGATGGGGTTATTGTTCTGCATTAACAAGATAACTGAATTCTCCATCAACATTTTTCAAGAATGAAGACCTCAAAAGCAAATTTTGAAAATCACTACATTGATTTCAATAAAAAAATAATAAAAAAAAATAAATAAAAAAAATAAGAAATCGCACCTGGCCCCCTTCCCAACAGAAAAGCATTAGAGCACTAACAAAATCAAGGATTGCAGGTGGAACATACCATTACTCCCATTAGAAGGGGTGCATATCTCGGCAGAGTTTGGGCTGTCACGGTCCACTTTGCGCGATGGTATGGTCGCTCGCACGTAAAAACAGTAACTCTCCCCTTTGTCTACATTGATGACAATTTCATTGGTCCCTGACGTTGCCTGTTTCTGCAGATACATTAAAACAGAGTAGGGGTTAATTGTGTGAAGAGTATATATAAAAAATAAAAAAAATAAAAAAAAATTATATATATATTTTTTTTAGAAACATTACTTGATCATTAATTTTTAAATTGGCTCTTACATTTTTGTTTTTAAAACACTACATTTTTCAAATCTGTTATCTTTCAGCCCTCCAACTTCACACAATGGAATATTTTAACTTGACTATTGGCTGACCTTGGGCATCATTCAATTTACATAGCATGCTCAGCTAATTTAAATTATAGACTAAACATACATATTCCCCTCTAATGCTAGAGTAAACTATGTAATAGGAGTTGGGAGGTACACCAACTCCTGGTAGAGGCTACACTTCACTTGACAAGGCTGAAACATATGTCTGGATTTTCTGCACATCTTGTGCAGAAGGACTTGTCGGCAGATCAGATCTTCTAGACCAAGGGTGCCCAAAATCTAGATTCACAGCTGTCGAACTACAGCTCCCATGTTGCTTTGCGTGCCTTTCAAATGCTTTAGCATTAGCATGAATGGCAAAGCATCATGGAAGCTGTAGTTTTAAAATATCTGGGGATCTACCTTTTGGGCACTCTTTCTCTAGACTGCTCTAATGGGTGGGATCCATCCAATATACAATATGAGCAGAGCAGAGCTTAGTCGAAAGGAAATTTGAGTTTTTGCTCATTTTCTTTGCTCTCTTAAATTCTGTTTTGACTTAAGAAAAAATAAAATAAAAAAAAAATAAAATAAAAAAACTTTGTCAATTGTTGTGAAATTCAAAGATAAGCAGCTTTTTGCCGTTGAGACCTTTGCTGTTGAGGCCAACAGGAAGTTCAGATGTTGTACTCACCCTGCCAGTACTAGAAGCTTTTCTGTAAAACAGTGTATACATAAAGTCACTTTGAAATATATCCCGAACAGTCTTGAATGTATTATTGGGGAATGCAAATGGTGTCACAGCATCTTTAACGAACACGTGGAGCTTGCCACTTTCTTTATCCAATTCAAACTGTTCAATGACTGGTTTTCCAAGCTTTGCTAAAAATAAAGAAAATAATGGATTTAAAAAAAAAACCAAAAAAAAAACCAAACAAACCTTACTAATACGAACTACCCCGTTTCATCCATTAAAAGAAAAAGTCTATGAAAATGCTTTCCTATAAACTGACTACCAAGTTTGAGAAAATTATTTTGGCAGACGAGGGACCAACAAACAAACAAACACAAATGTTCTTTTTTATTAGGGAAGAAAACCAAAACAAAAAAACTCCCCCTCCAAATATTAAATTAAGCTTCCAATAAATACATTTAAAAAAAAAAAAAATCTCATTCTCATCTGCAGGGGCATCCATGTTTGAAGATGGAACATGCAGGGGATAGATGCCACTGTTCGTATTACAGGCTGGCTTGGGCACTTGATATGGATTCATAAGGCAATACTGCATGTATCTGTACGTGGGCATGCAAATTTTAGCTCCATCTGGATTTCCACTCTATTTAAAGTTTCATAAAAGTTTGTTGAAGAAGCTGTATGATTAGGGGAGGTTTTTCCAAATATGTGTACATACATTTTGACTAGATCTTCTGAAAGTAGGATTAAAAAATAAATAAATAAATAGATAAACTAGGAATATCCTGATACATTTAAGAGTTGAAAGACTACAACTACCTATACATTTGTGGCCTCTAAACAATTTGACATTTAGAAAAATTTGAAATCATAAAATGGGCACTGACATGGAAATTAAATACCAATATATGAACAATTAAAATCCATTTATACAGCATTCAACATACAAAGAAAGATGGCATTTTTGTCACATTAGCTTACTAGGTACTGGGGTGAGTAGATTTCAGTTAAAATACCCAGATTACAGGAGCACCACAGAGACCCAGGTACACTGTCAAACTGTTCTAAAATGGTTACACTGGGGCGGGGCCAGGAAACTCCTGAAACCATAACCACTACAGCAAGCTGTTGTGGTTATAGTGCTTGGAATGTTAAAACAAATTACACTGCTATCATAAACAGGATAATGAAAATGTTGAATGTAATAGAACAAAGCATTACATACTCTGCTTATAAGGAGTAAATGGAACGCTGTCAGCGTATGGAAATTCCTCAATGTGTTCAGAATCTTTAACATTTGATATAATGCGTGCAGTATACGTATCGTTCACATCCTCTAATAAATTAGAAACATCACACTCCGTCTCCTTAGTATAGAAGCATTTTGTTTTCCAGTCAGAATATTCGCTGAAAAAGAATGGAAATACAGCATAAATATAAACACTTTATAAAAAAAAAAAAAAGAAAAAATACAAAACAGGGAAAAAGAAAAGAAAAAAGAAAACCAACCGACAACTTATTGAAAAAAACCACAAAAACAAAAAAAACTCGTTATGCCACGAGTTGACATGCAGTTTTAGAATAAATAAACCAGAAACAAGTTTGTTTAGGAGCCAAACTAATATTTGTTGGCCTTTTTTTTTTTTAAGCAGCATGTTTTAACAAATTTGGAATTTGTTATGTGAAACTCTGAGAAACGTGGACGTGTGAGTGTGCGTGCATGAAGAAACATGTCTATCAGTCCCGCTCCAATCAGCAAATTTGTCGGTTTGCACAGCGATACCACACCTGTACAGAACAGGCAAGTCTGGATGGACAACATATTTTGCAATAAATGGAGACCATGGGTTATTTAGAACTAAGCTGCCTCTAGGCATTTGGAAATATGTATACAAAGAAGAGGTCATAAATGAAACTTTCTAGGGCTGAGCTGGTTCTAGAACTAAATCAGACATATTTATCTCATTGGATGACAAGATAGTGTGACTTGAAAGGGATCTCTGCTTTACATTAAAAGAGAATGCGGATTTAAAACAACATTTAAAGGGCCACTTGCATCACCAGGACCACTTCATTGCAATGACTTCTCTAAGTCAGCTAGGGCCTTAAATGTGAAAATAATTTTGCATTCTCACTTCACTAAATAACCTGGCTAGAATCAAAGATAGAAGTTGCTCCCAGTGTACCAACCAAGTTTTGTTCTCCCATCTTTACTAGGGAGAAAGTTTACTGTACACCAGGTGGACAAAATTTCCCTTGAAGATGAGCTCACCAGAGACCATGACAGCTGGATTGGGTTCGGTTAACCATCAAGGATATAGGTGTGACTTCGTGTTGCGTTTATTTACAATGGATTGGACAAGCACGTCATAAATTACTCAAGGTGGGGGTTTGGCGGTTTGTGAGAGAGAGATATTACTTACTATCAATACTATTGATCTCATAGGCAGACATTTGATGTTTTCTGACTGTTCAAGATTTATAGGAGGGGTATTCTGCCAACAGCTGGGAATCCGGTTTGAGTTTTTTTGAGCAGTGCATGTATTAGAATTTGCAATGTACAAATGTAAATTAATATATTAGAAGCATGATGAAAAGTCCAGTAGCTGTAGTGCTGAAGGATGTGTAAATCAATGCGATCAGCACCTGTATCAAATCTCACTTTGAACAACCATGCATTTTGCTCTTGATGAGAAAATGTCAGTAGCCATACGTTGTTCAACAAATTAATTGTAAGATTATAAAGGTTTGCCATTCTACATAGTAAGTGGAACCCATGGAACCCAGAGCAATCCATTAGTTCCCACGGTGACTAGGACACTGTTATGCCTTGTTCTAAGCCTTTTGACCCCTGAACCCCCATCTGTAAGTATGAAGTACTTACCCACTAACGTCAACACTATAAGTGTGATTTACAGGTGTAGGTTCCCATTCCAGTATAGTCTTAAAGTTAACAGATGACCAAATAATGTTTACAGCGGTTTTAAGCTCTTTAGAGTCTGCAAAAAAGAAAAGAAAAAAAAAAAAGTATATAAATATGATCTAAAGACATGATGGAATCATAATAACAACCCCTTTTGGGAATAAATAAATTAAAAACAAAAACACATGCACACATAGTTCACTGAGCACATTAATCTCTGAATTGCACCAAATTGAGATCTGGGGGAAAAATAAATAACTCCATCTCAAGAATAATCCCAGTTTGTCTTTTTTAATATTTAACCACACTCTTAGGGAAAAAAAAAAAAAAACAGACTGAATAATTCAAATATATGTAACAGGATCAAAAGAAGATTATCAATCCATGCTATCAAATGACTTTTAGCTAATTCTGTACATCAGATTAAAATCCATTTTGGAATGTAGGACTCAGATTAAGCCATTTTTTTAACACAACAATAAATGATTCTAAAGTACAACACTGCACCTCTATTGATTTACCTGTTCTAGTAAATATTTAACATTCAGGGCTTTAGGCACTTGGAAGCATTGATAAAGAATGTGCTTGGAATACATTCAGAGATTGTGTAGGCCACATACACTACCAGACCAACTCTGGCCCACCAACACTTTGCGGACTACAACTCCCATGAATCGTTTCAGGGCACTATGTTTGGATGTCAAACCAACCCCCCCCCCCCAAAAAAAAGCCTCTATAAGAGTTTGCATTCTATTATACTTTAATATCTTACTAATTTACTGTTTTAACAATTTGTCATGGCTTTTGATATTATGGGTAATTAATATTAATAAATAATAATAAATAATAATAATAAATAATAATAATAATAATAATAAAGCATTTCAAGTTCTTTGAATGAATTATAAAAGCTGATTTAACCATGTGAGTGCCAAAGAGGAATGGTAAGTAAGCCACAAGCACTATACTCAGACGGTAAAACGTGTTTTAACATTAAAACATAATACACGTCATCTGCTGTTAATTTGAGAGATTTACTCTGCTATAAAATATTTATTTATCCCATGGAACTCGTTCACTATGTATCACTGGTTAATAAATATCACTGTCTACCTGGTTCCTCTCAATAAACAGCAATGCCTCCAATCCCATCTTATCCTTTGATTTGTACATTTTTTTAAACCAATAAATGAGATACATTTTATCCAGGTTAATAGATCCCCACTGCTCTCTCTCTCCTGGCATAAATCACCTTTACCTAGGAAAGTTTAGGGGAACGATATTATTGCGGCCCTGTAACATGCATATTTTATAAGCCCCCCTTCCTCCCCCCAGCACAGGTTAGTATCACTTACCTAAAGCAGCCGTCCACTGAAAGCACAGGGCAGAGCAGAGCAGGAAGTGGAGAGGCAGATATAAAGTATTCATTGTATTCCAGCCACAAAATGATAATAATCAGAAATAATAAAAAAAAAAAATATATATATATGTATAAAAATATATCCCAGCGAGTTATAAACTCCTCAAATGATGTCACACTACTTGTAGTGCTGTCAGTAAATCAGTGTATTCAGGCAACGCTCTTAGTTGCTTCCTGTGCCTGTTGCTTGTAGTATGAACTGAGGGTGAATGCAATGGAGTGAGATATATATACAGGCTTTGGCCAGACTACGGGAGCTCATGCTGAAGCCGAATAGGAAGGATTACATTGGATTTTCCCACCCACTCTCTGCACAAGTATTGAGTCACTCACTACTTGTGCTTTATATTTCTGCCGATAGAGGGCGTCCATGCTGCATAACATTTTATCCCACCTTGAAATTAGCTAATTCTGTAATTACTGGGCACCTACACAGAATCTCCATGCACAATTTTCCTTGTAAAATCATACTACAATAAGGGGTTTTAATTAAAAGAAAATAACTGTTGCATATTATGAGGAAATTCAGAAATTTTAAGCTCATAGCCAGACTTAATATATAGAGTTATTCGCAAAAGTAAGAATTGTCAAGAATTCAAAGTGAATTGCAAATTTAAGACAAATACGTCTGAACTGGAAAAACTCTATGCCAGCTACTCTTCCAGTTCAAGTACTTTGGCCTTAAATGACCATTAACGTGACCCAGATCACTGGAAACAAGGTACATAATCTTTAGTTAACTCTAATTTTACAGAGCAAAGTGATCACACTGCTAGAAGAGACAGGACAGTGATCGCACTGCTGGAAGAGAAAGGACAGTGATCACACTGCTAGAAGAGAGTGGACAGTGATCACACTGCTAGAAGAGAGTGGACAGTGATCGCACTGCTAGAAGAGACTGGACAGTGATCACACTGCTGGAAGAGAATGGACAGTGATCACACTGCTAAAAGAGACTGGACAGTGATCGCACTGCTAGAAGAGAGTGGACAGTGATCGCACTGCTGGAAGAGACTGGACAGTGATCACACTGCTGGAAGAGAATGGACAGTGATCACACTGCTAGAAGAGAGTGGACAGTGATCACACTGCTAGAAGAGACTGGGCAGTGATCGCACTGCTGGAAGAGAATGGACAGTGATCACACTGCTAGAAGAGAGTGGACAGTGATCGCACTGCTAGAAGAGACTGGGCAGTGATCACACTGCTAGAAGAGACTGGACAGTGATCACACTGCTGGAATAGACTGGGCAGTGATCGCACTGCTGGAAGAGAATGGACAGTGATCACACTGCTAGAAGAGAGTGGACAGTGATCGCACTGCTAGAAGAGACTGGGCAGTGATCGCACTGCTAGAAGAGACTGGGCAGTGATCACACTGCTGGAAGAGAATGGACAGTGATCAGACTGCTAGAAGAGAGTGGACAGTGATCGCACTGCTGGAAGAGACTGGACAGAGATCGCGCTGCTGGAAGAGACTGGACAGTGATCAGACTGCTAGAAGAGACTGGACAGAGATCACACCGCTGGAATAGACAGGACAGTGATCACGCTGCTGGAAGAGACTGGACAGAGATCACGCTGCTGGAAGAGACTGGACAGTGATCAGACTGCTAGAAGAGAGTGGACAGTGATCACACTGCTAGAAGAGACTGGACAGAGATCACACCGCTGGAATAGACTGGACAGTGATCACGCTGCTGGAAGAGACTGGACAGTGATCACACTGCTAGAAGAGACTGGGCAGTGATCACACTGCTAGAAGAGAGTGGACAGTGATCACACTGCTAGAAGAGACTGGGCAGTGATCACACTGCTAGAAGAGACTGGGCAGTGATCACACTGCTAGAAGAGACTGGACAGTGATCGCACTGCTAGAAGAGACTGGACAGTGATCACACTGCTGGAATAGACTGGACAGTGATCACGCTGCTGGAAGAGACTGGACAGTGATCGCACTGCTAGAAGAGACTCGGCAGTGATCACACTGCTGGAAGAGAATGGACAGTGATCGCACTGCTAGAAGAGAGTGGACAGTGATCGCACTGCTGGAAGAGACTGGACAGTGATCACACTGCTGGAAGAGACTGGACAGTGATCGCACTGCTGGAAGAGACTGGACAGAGATCGCACCGCTGGAATAGACTGGACAGTGATCACGCTGCTGGAAGAGACTGGACAGTAATCACGCCGCTGGAATAGACTGGACAGTGTTCACACTGCTGGAAGAGACTGGACAGTGATCACACTACTGGAAGAGAAACTGTCTTTCCTTTTAAATTTGAAGAATTCACTTTAAATTCCTCAAAATTATCACTTTAGTGAATAGACCAGAAAACTTATTGCAAGTCCCTTGATGATTCCATACAATTCAGGTTTATTCACTACATTTTCAGTCAAGTGACCCCCTACATTTTTTTTCTCAGCACTACCCATCCCCCTAAATGTATAGCATGCCCCTCCAGCTGTTTGAGATTCTCACTCAATTACCTCTTCATTCCCTTTATATTTTACTAATAGATGCAACTTTCTGTTAACTTCTTTTAGCCATCACTTCCAAATTTTCCCTGCTACCTCTTCTCTCAAATCCCCACAGTATCCTTTAGATTGTAAGCTCACAGGCTATCTAGCTAAGCACTTTGTATAAAAGAGCTGCATTGTACAGCGCTATGGAATCTGATGGCGTTATATAAATATTAAAATAATAATGGCTAGATATCAGCTTACGGGTAGGGCCCTCTCTACCTTTCGTATTTGTCTGTGTATATTGTACATTCTCCACTAATTGTACAGTGCTGCGGAATACGTTGGCGCTTTATAAATAACAGTAATAAATAAAATAAATAATAAAAGTGTGTATTGTAGAGAATTTACAGTGAATTTGTATTCAGCATTTTTTTTACGAATTTGGGCCTCACAATAGTACAACAAAATCTCTGCTCTTTAACCCCTTAAGGACACATGACATGGGTGACATGTCATGATTCCCTTTTATTCCCGAAGTTTGGTCCTTAAGGGGTTCATTTGATATTGGACTCTGGGATAGGTCTCTTACTATAGACCTTTCTGTTTTTATATTTCCTTTACTTTAAGAAGACTGGACAAATTCTAGTAATCTATATTTTTACTGTGGCTATTTTGGCCTTAAAGGTGAATTGTCACTTCTTTAATTTTAACACATTCAAGTTGAATTTATTTTAAAGTTAGTTTTAAAGTTCTTTATAGATTCTTTTATTTTCATGTACATGCTTTACAAAGCCAGGTAATGTGTGTAAATGAGTTCACTTGCGCATGCGTGTGTAGAGCACTGCTGGAGCAAATGCTCTGCATATATGCTGGCACATGGTATTTCCCTGTTAGATGTCCAAGGGTGTACACACATGCCTAAAGCATCATGGGACAAAAAAGGCGCCATAATGTGGAAGTGCATCAAAAGTAATTTTTTTTATCTTTACTGTATTATTCACCTCGGTAAACACTGCAATATTGTTTCGAATGAAGGAGCACAAAGCTGTCAGTTCTCTGGAAGTAACAGTTCCTGTTTAAATCTGACATTCTTTTTGAATTCCCGACAGTTTACACTTTAGTGAAAAAACAACCTGCTGGAGGGTTACAGGGTTCACTGAAAAGTGAATTGTCGTCAAAGGAAAGCTTACAAATTTGCAAAATTTAGATCAAAATAGTTGAGCAGAAAAAAAGGCACTAACTCAGCCAGAGACACAGCTTGACATACAGAAAAAAATAAAAAGGATACGTCAAAGCTACACTACAAACAAAACAAAGTGCAAAAATATGAATAACTTTGAATTTTAATATCAATTGTAAAATTTAAATGATCAATTCACACTTTAGTGAATAAACCCTGTTTATTCTGTTTTGCAGTGAATTCTCTAGTGGCTTTCAAATGTAAGGCCAGGGTTTATATAGTATAGTCCAGATATGCACAGAATGTGCAAAATTCTGTCAAAATGACTAAATTCCAACACAATCTGGAAATCACATGTTTTGTAAAGACAATTACCGCACATAATTGAGCAAATTCTATGTAAAATAATAGAGTTCACATGTTTATCAAACATTGAATTTTAGCCACATTCACGCAAAACATGTATAGGAGAAGCAAAATTTGCTAAAAAATGTACCTCTCATTGATTATTATTATTTTATTATTTATATAGCGCCATCAGATTCCGTAGCGCTGTACAATGGGTTATTGATAGACGACCAATATATCTTGTATATGAATGGGTTGTAAGTAATACTGCTTATCTAGACCGTGTGAGATATAAGATGCGATAACTTTGATAAACAATAAAGATGCATTCTTGTGAACAAGCTATCTGTTTCAACTGTAATAGCATAAAAGTCCGTCAACTATCCTGGGAGGAACTGTGTAAACAATGTATCTAAAAAGCGCAACAGTAGAGTAAATTAAAAAATGTATTGTACCAGCGGTCTCCCTCGGGAGATTCTTTACAATTTGGACTTACCACTCCTACTACTCCAAACAACTGGATCTGCAAGTAGGTCAGAAAATACTCTGGACATTATTAATATTAACATACAGCATACCAGCTACAGAGACTCTATAGGTAGCTGTATGTCTGTACAGTGTACACAGTCCATATTTATATTGCATTCTATTGCATTTGGAAGAAATCCACAAAAATATATATTTGGACTATCTTCATTATCAATTACATTGCTACAACTTGTATTATACTGCGTATTCTCTTGCATGCTATCTTTGTGACATTTCATTGTATCAATAAATGTTTGTATTTATCGTACTGTTGTGCTTTTTAGATACATTGTATACACATATCTTGTATAGCGCTGCACAAATTAAAGGGTTACTCTAAGCAACCGGACAACTTTGTATAATTGCAAAGTTGATGTTGCATTGAGCGCCTGGCAGCTCCGAGAGGGGCTTAGAACCACAGTGATTTGTAAAAACACTGGAACTCTAAGCTTTCCTCTTAGAGCTGTCCGTCATACAGCAAATATACACTTGAAGATGCCATTAATATTCTTGTTTTATGTGATATATTACATGAGGTGAAGAGGTATTGGCCATGGTAACATTGTTTGGCAGTGATTAAACTGCATATGTCTCATGTAAGCAGAATTTGACCAAAGTCCCTTTGTAGATCAAAGAAAAATAATTAAAATAATACAAGTAATCTAAAAAGAATAGTAGGCATATGGGTAGCCAGTTGCTTTGGCTACATAGCATCTTGGTATGTCTGGCTAATAGGTCAATTATTTTCCTTCGTGGTTTAGACAACCACCAGTCTCATATTTATCAATATCTTTAG